TATATATATATATAAAAGATTTTTTTCGAATAAATGCAAAAGTTATCATGAGTCAAAAAGAATACATGTTTTTTTGAATTTATTATATATATTTATGTTTTTTTTCTCCATCATCTTCAGAATTGCTATTCATCCCAAAAAGAAGAAAAAATTGTTGTTTGAACTTTTCATTTCTCACTTGCTTTCGTGGAAAGTCATTTTTCTGTTACTATACCACTTCTTGTTAACATTTATATTTACTGTGCACGCGTTTTAACTTCTAAGAAGTATTTATAGTTCTTGCCAGTTTATTTCTCCCAAAAAAAAAATATTTCTACTAATAATATATATATTTTTTTTTTCGTGACGTGTAGTAGTTTGTCTAAGTAAATTGTTTTTTAATGGTAATAACATTAAAACTAGTTTCTTGTTGTTCGGGGAAAAAACAGAATATCCTTAATAACTATTGTTCTAATAATTAGATTTTTGACGTACTAGGACTCAATCTGTATGATTCCAGGGGGTGATCTCAAATATGCGTTATAACTACTAATAAATATGCGTTATAATTAGAGTGCGGGTAATATTTTAAATTACGGAATTAGACACAAAATCGTACTTTCTCTGAATACCTGTTTCTGCTCTCTACCTCAGTGTTGTCACGGTCGACTATAAAAGTAAAAAATGGTGACTCATAAAATCCAAAATTTAATTAAAAATAGATTTGCAGATTCAGATTTTTTTCTTTCCAATATACTTCACATTATCGACCGACAAAACATCACAGACGAATCTGTTACTGAGATAGACTCTACTTCTAACGTTCTGAAGATGTTAACACCAATTGAATCGACAACTTTCTCCCGACATTAAATAACAGGCATAAAACTAAAGAGAATAATATATTAAAATTAGGAAAACTATATTCGGCAGGTTTGTTTGAAGGGTGCATCAACCTTAGTAATGAAACTTCTGTCTCCACAGAAACTTCCCTGTCTCTCTCTACTTTTTTCCATTTTAGAATAATAATAATAAATATTCGTCTTTTTAGTCCATTTTAAAAACATAGTTTTAAAATTCTTCACTCAAAGCTCATTTGTAGAAAAACAGGGTTCATACATGCTTTAGAAAAAAAATTTAAATGGGGAGAGTGTATTATTTAAGACCATCTATAACTTTCCCTTTATTAGTTCTTACTTTAAAATTTTGATATTTATGGAAACTGGAAAATAATTCAAACGAGTACCTGGCCAATGAGGCCAATTCAGTAATTAAGGATTATTTCTTAACTCAAAGGATTTTATTAAAATAAAATTAGTAGGTAGATGTTAATGACAAAAATAAAAGACAACTACATACATAAGATTAGTTCAAGTTAAATTACAAGCAAAAGCACATTTTTTTAGTGAAATTTTTATTTTAAACGAATTGGTGGATTAATAAGTATAAGAAATAAATGAGAAATAAAATAAAAATAGAAGCAGGTTAAAATCTCACAGTATTTCTATCACTGGGGAGCAGAGTTTTTCTTAACATTTGTCATGCTGGCGAATTTTACTTTACTTACTTTATTTAAAAAGAACTGGGCACCTGGGCCGCGCAGCGGCCCCTATCCCATACATCGTGACATATATACATTGTGTTTAAAAACATTTTGAAATTTTGCTACATTGTGGTGGCAAAAACAAAAAACAAAAAAAAAAAATATATAAATTTACAGTTGATGATTTAGAGTTTACAGATTGATTATTTACATATTTGAAAATTCTATTGTAGTATTTTGTAATATAATATAATTTTTATTAGAGTTCTATTTGAAAGTTCTGAGTTTATTTAGATAATATACTGCACTGGAGTTACTAGGTGGCAGCACTTGCTACTGTTGGTTTTCAGGATTCTGGATAATCTAGATGA